GTTTGACTGATGGACAAGCAGGAGGCATGGTCAGCAAAGGGGACATTCATTCATTCATTCAACCAAACAATAATTATTGAGTGTATGGCAATGTTCTGGATGTTGGGACACAGTAGCCCTGTCCTCTTGGAGCCCAGTCCCTCCAGGCAGAAGACAACAGACAAGAGGCAAATCTGAAGGTCATAAAGAGGAAGGAAGAAAGTTCAGGAGTGCAGGGAGGGGAGTGGGTTGCAATATTCTTTGAGACACAATTTACACACCAGAGAACTCCCTCTTTTAAAGTGTATAGTTGTGGTTTTCATATATTCAGAGTGTTGTGTAACCATCACCACTGTTTAACCCAGAACATTTCATCACCCCCCAAAGAAACTCTGACCATATTAGTAGTCACCCTCCATTCCTCACTCCCTAGACCCTAACAACCAGGAACCCACTCTCTGTGTCTGAGGATCTGCCTGTTCTGGACGTTTCCTATCAGTGGAATCACACCCTGTGTGTCCTGCTGTGTCTGTTTCTCTCACTGAGCATCATGTTCTCAGGGTCCGTCCACATGGTAGTGAGTGTCTGGGCTTCTCTGCTTTTTATGGCTGAATAATATTCCAGGGTGTGGATGGACACATTTTGAGAATCCATTCATCAGTTAATGAGCATTTGTGTTGCTTCTGCTTTATGGATAACGCTGCTATGAACATTTATGTACACGTTTTTGTGCTTCCATATCTTTTAGATATATACCTAGGACTGGAATTTCTGGATTACTTGGTAATTTATGTTTAACTCTTTGAGGGTCTGCCAGACTGCTTTCTAGCAACCACTAACAATGTGTGATGGTTTGCAATTAAAAAAAAAAATGCTCAGGGGAGGATTCACTGAGGAGATGACATCTGAGTTGAGACCTATAGGAGGTGAAGGAGTAAATGCAGGTCTAGGGAGGAAGAGCCGTCTAGGCAGAGGGCACAGCATGTGCAAGAGCCCTGGGGCAGGACTGTGCCTGACATGCTGGAGGAACAGTGAGGAGGCCCATGTGGCTGGAGCAGAGTGAGCAAAGGGGAGAGAGGGAGGAGGAAAGGACGCGGAGGGGATGGGGAAGGTCATGCAGGGCATTGTGGGCCATGAGAAGGACTTGGGCTTTCACCTGCAGGGAGGTGGGAGCCCTGGAGGGCTCTGAGCAGTGCAACGATGGGACCAGACTGGAGTGCTCACAGGTGCTCTCTCATGGCTGCTTCAGGAAGGACAGATGGATGTGAGGGCAGGAGTGAGGGAAGGACCGAGATTGGCTGTGCTGGTCCAGGTGGGCGATGATGAAGGCTGGACCAACTAGGGGCTCCAGAGAGGGAGAGGTGGGCTGATTCTTGGTCAACTGTGAAAGTGGATCCCACAGAATCCGTATAGATAAGACAGGATCTCATCCTGACAGGTGGGAGGTGAACCTGTTTTGGGGGAGGAGTAGGAGGAAGGTGGGGGGCCCTCCACACTCCCACCTCGACCCCTACTCACTGATGTGCTCTGGGACAAAGGGCAAGAAGCTGCTGCTGACACCACTGGGGTGGACAGCGGTGATGTTGAGCACATAGGGCACCATGGAGAACATCTGGACATCGGGGATGATACAGCTGGTGGCTTCTGGTGTCGGCTGGAGGCAGGGCCAGCTTTCCCCATGGGCTGCCACGCCGAGCCTGAACATGGAAGGAGTGCTGTGAGGATCCTAGCACTTCATGCTGGCCCACCTGTGCCCTGACCCCATGTGAGGACAGCAGGTCAGAGTCCTGGTCTTGGCTGTGTGATCCTAGGGGTCCCTCAACCCAACATCACAGAACTTGGGTGACCCAGGGTTGGAGGGAACATCCCACTAGGAGGTGCTAGGGTCTGGGCTGTAAAGCTTTCGTCAACATTCCAGCCTTAGAATGCCAACATTCCCAGGTCTATGATTCACAGATTCTGGACTCTGAAATAATGATTCCAACTCTCTTGAGTTCTGGCACCCTTAGATTTCAGACTCTAGAGACTGTGGAGTTTAACACCACTCAGAACCTTCCACAGCATCCAAAACGTTCTGCTTCTGCAGTGTGGATGTGAATGAAGTGCAGTCAGTGCAACTGAGTGGGACTTTTATCTAATCTACATGTTTCCCCGGTGGCTCAAATGATAAAGAACCTGCCTACTATGCAGGAGACCTATGTTCTAGTGCTGAGTAGGGAAGACCTCCTGAAGAAGGAAATGATAACCCACTCCAGTATTCTTGCCTGGGAAATGCCATGGATAGAGGAGCTTGGCAGGCTGCAGTTCCTGGGTTCACAAAGAGTTGGCTACAACTGAGTGATTAACACTTTCTGCTTTCTTTCTAATCTACATGAAGTTTCTAGTTATCAGAAAGCTTGAGAAAGTTTCTCAGAACAACTCAGGTGTATGAATCTACTTTCCCAAACACAAATGTTATGAAATCTAATTACAGATCAATATTTTCCAGTGAACATTAAGCATCTGAATTGAAATGTGATATATACATAAAGCATCAATGGAATTTCCATGACTTAGTATAACAGGACTGAATGTACAATATCTCATTAATTTTTAAAGTTTTGATGCATGTTGAAATAATGCTTTGGTTAATCCTATTCATGATAATAAATCAATTTCTAGTATAAATTTCTAGTATAAATGGAGAAGGAAATGGCAACCCACTCCATTATTCTTGGCTGGAAAATCCCATGGACACAGGAGCCTGGCAGGCTACAGTCCATGGGGTTGCAAAAAGTCAGATATGACTGAGCAACTGAACGTGCATGTTAGTATAAATTTAAATATATGAAACTTATATAAGCATGTTAAAGCACATTACATTCAATCAGATGGTACATATTTGGAGTATTTGAATATTATTTAAATAAAATATTAAAACCAGTATCACCATTTTTTTTATTTTTCAAATGGGGCTTCTAGGAAATTTTACCCTCCACACATGGCTGACAATATGTATTTTAGGGAGTGTATTTCTAAGGGTTGGTGTTGCTCTAGAATTTCGAGTGTTTCAGGTTCTTGCTAAGTGTTCAGCTACCCTGATCCTAGTGGGTCAGCCCAGTTTTAGTCCCCATGAAGCCCTCCAAGCTCTCTGACCTGTACGTGGCAATGAACGATGTGGGCCTGGTGGAGTTCGGAGGAGTGGGCGGCAGGGTCCAGGAGCAATCTATGGCGACCGGGTACCTGGAGGCCTGGCACCACATCCTGGGCTGGGAGGAAGCTACTGGGTGGCCCGGAGAGAGAGAGAAAGAGTGAGCTTCTCATTCACTGGAACTGTCGAAGCCTTACTGTGGCTCACCAGCCCCTACCTTGCTGCCAGCCAGTGCTGGGCACACAGCAGGCACCTAATAAAGGTTTGTAGAATGAATGAGTACATGAATGAAAGGCATTCACATCATCTCCCACCCCTTGATACAACCTGCCATGGCAGGAACTACTACTATTAGCCCATTTTCCAGATGGGAAAACTGAGGTTGAAGGAGACACAGAGGGGACCTGGGGGTGGCAGGGACTTCTGGAGGGAGAGAGATGCTTTACTAAACCCCGTCTTTGTGATAGTTTTGTTTTGAATCACATGAAGTGAATGAATACAACTAAAATGTCTCTCTCCGCCAGTCTTCCTCCCTCCAGGCTGCGGCTGCCGCTTCCTGGTCCCCTTGGGGTAGGACTTGCCTCTTTGTGCCTCAGTTTCCCCCATCCATGCAATGGGATGGTAACCCTCTCCCACCAGTGGGCATACAGAAGGCATGTGGGCTCCCACCCCATCCAGAAGATTCCACGGCATACCAATCCAGTCCTCAGACAGTGTCCCTCTGCCAGGACTCCCTCCAACTCCCAGGGTCCACACATACCTTCTCTCTCGCGACAGAGTGAGCAGCCCACCCAGAGGCTGACGGCAAAGACCAGGACGAGTCTCAGGGCCATGGCTCTGGCGGGCTCTGCTCTCAGGGGCTGGGGCCAGGAGTACCCTCAGGGAGGCAGGGGACTCAGGTCCCACCCAGGGGAAAGCCCAGCCCCCTTTGGAGGCCCCCTACTTCCTCTTCCCTGTCTGACTCACCGCCCAGTTCCTGGGGCCCTGGAGGAGGAGCCCCCAGTCCCTTCACCGGCCACCACCAGTTTCGGGTGCGGAAGGCCCCGAAGGTGGGGGCAGAGAGAAGAGGCCACAAAAGGGAGAAGTAGTGACCCCGTGGCCTTTCCCAGCAGAGCCTTCCTTCCGGCTTCAGCGAGGAGGGGGAGCCCCCCGGGGAGGGCGGTGATGACAGGGAGACAACAGAGAGGCGGGAATGGGGGGGGCACTGAGCAAGACAGATGGACAGACCCGGGTGATGCTGGATCACTCATCTACCACTGAGATGGGGACCCCGCCCCCCGCCAGCTGCACCCCATGCTCCAGGCCACAGAGAGGCAGACACCCAGGTTTTTGGCGGACATCCCCCACTGAGGACATTCGCCGAGGACCTGGAATGCCCAGGGACAGGCAAAATGACTGCTGGATGCCGTGGAACCCCAGGGGACAGGCTGGACACAGGGCCACCTCCCTGCTTGAGCTGGAAAGAGCCAAGAACCCCCAGGGGATTTCAAAAAGTTAGCCCAGGAGCAGGGAGGCGGGGGTGGGACCCTCTGGGGACCCTCCCACCAGGAATGGGTCTCATATGAGAACAGTGAAGTAAGATGTACGACCTCGGATCCTGTCTTCACTTAACATTTGGATATTTTGTTCACCATGAACTTTGGGGCACCCATTCTGACTTTTCAAAATACTGCAGTAACTAGGGGACTTCCCTGGTGGTCCAGTGGCTAGGGTTCCGAGCTTCCAGTGCTGGACACAACTGCAGCTACTTAGCACAGCACACCACAGTGTCCATCTTGGGGACTGAGTCCTGCCTCGCTCTCCTCACCCTAATCCCTAATCCCTGCACTGGGCCACTCCCTCCCCTCCTTGCAGTGGGGCCCAGCAATCAGGCCACATGACATTTTCATCTTCTGCTCTGCTCCATGAGCTTTTATTCCTGGGATAGCGTTTGGGACCAGATGTTGGGGAGAGGACTCAGATTCCCCGGTGGCAGGAGGGGTCATGGTCAGGGCCAGGGTCTAGACTGCCCAGTGCACGCAGGGACCAGTGGGGCCGGTGGAGGCAGTGAGGACAGTGGGGGAGGGGGCCCAGGCTAGTCTCCAAGCGAGGAAGGTCAGTGCATGAGTCCCCAAGCCCCCGTGAGAGGCCTAGTGGGGCAGAGGGCAGTCCTCTGCTCTCAGCGGCCCTGGGCCTGGAGCCTCTGCATCTGCAGAATCTGACTCAGAATTCGCTGCACGTCTTCATCCATCTGACCCTGAGGAGGGGGCAGGGTGGGAGCGGAGGGAGCCTGGGCATTCTCTCCCCTTCCCCACCCAGTTTCTTCATCCCCCTCCCCCCCGCCCATTGATCCTCTTCCCTCCACCAGCCTCCCATCCTACAGATAGGGAAACTGAGGCCCAGAGAGCAGCAGTGGTGCCCCCAAAACCAGTGAGGCTCACCTGAATGGCGTAGAGGAGGTGGCTCCTGTACAAGGCCACCACTGCACTGTGGTCCCTGGCAGCCTCCTGTGGGTGTAGGGGAGGGGCGCTCAGAAATGCAGGACCCCCTCCAAGCTATGCCAAAAAGCCCCCTTTGCACCCTGAGCCCATTTTGATGGCACACAACAGCATGGCAGTGCTACTTGCTAAAATACTGAACTACTTTCCTCCATGTGCACTGCCTGCCTGCCCGTCACCCTCCAGGGACCTTGTGCCCAATGGGCAGGTGAGGCTCACCTCTAGCTGTTCCCGCAGAGCTTTCACCTGGCCACGGAGGGCTTCCACCTCCAAGGAGTCTGGGGCCGCCAGCTGGTCCTTCAGCGCCTCCTTAAGACTGAAGACCTCCTTGGAGAGCTCCGTGATCTGGGGTGAGGATGGGAGAGTCAGCCAGCACCTGAGCCCAGGGTGGGGACCTGGGGACCTCTCCCGGGCAGCGGGAAGAGCCTCGGACTTCGCGGAAATCACCCAGCAGGCTAAGTCCAGCCCATTAGCTAAGAATGGTTTCTACATGTTAAATCATCAGAAGGTGGTCTAGGGGCTAAGAATCCGTGCTCCCAGTGCAGGGGGCTGGGGTTCCATCCCTGGTTGGGGAACTAAATCTGACATGCTGCGACATGCCGCAACCGAAGCTGCACGCTGCTTAGCTGGACACTGCAAGATCCATGATCCCTGGTGACACAACTAAGTCCAGGCACAGCCAAATAAATAAACGTGCTCAGTCACTCAGTCATGTCCAACTCTTTGTGAGCCCATGGACTGTAGCCTAACAAGCTCCTCTGTTCATGGAATTCTCCAGGCAAGAAAACTGGAGTGGGTTGCCATTACCTCCTCCAGATGATCTTCCTGACCCAGGGATCGAGACCGGGTCTCCTGCATTGTAGGCAGATTCTTTACTGTCTGAGACACCAGAGAAGCCCAATAAATATTAAAAAAAAAAAAAAATCATCAAGGCAGGAGTAGGAAGTCAAAAGAATATTTTCTGACACATGAAAATTATACCAAATTCACAACTCCATGGTCATATGTAAATTTTTATTTATATGTGGCCACGCCCATTTGCTGTCGAGTCTATGGCCCCTCTTCAGTGGCAGAGCTGACTACTGTGGCTAGGCAGGGCCAAAATCAGTGACCATCTTGCCCTCTGCAGAAAAAGTGTACAGATCTTGGGAGTCTCCAAAAGGTGAAAGTGGAGACAGACAGAACAAGTGGGACAAAAGCTTCTGTCTTGGTGGGGCTGGGTTACTTGGGCCAGGGTTTGGGTCTTTCTCTCCCCTTGCCTAGTGGGAGATCTTGGAAATATGACCTAACCACTTGAAAGCTCAGTTTCCTCATCTGTAAGGTAAGGAGAACCATCGTTCTCACCTTTGTAGGTTGCTGTGACTCTGAACTGAGATTAATTTTAAGCTGTGCCAGCAAACAGCAGACACTCAATGCATGCTGGGCTTTGTTGTTATTTCCGTGGATCAGAGGTTCTCAATCAGGGGTGATCCTATCTCCAGTGGATGCCAGGCAATATCTGGAGGCATCTGTTTGTCAGGATTGGGGGGGTCTCCTTGTATCAAGTGGGCAGGGACCAGGGATGCTGCTCCACACCCTATAATACCCAGAATGGTCCCCCACAGAGAATGACCTAGCCCCTGGGACTTCCTTGGTGGTCCAGCGGGTAAGTCTCTGAGCTCCCAATGCTGGGGGCCTGGGTTCGATCCCAGGTCAGGGAATTAGATCCCGCATGCAGCAACTAAATCCCGCATGCAGCAATGAAAACTGAAGATCTTGTATGTGGCAACTAAGGCCTGGTGCAGTCAAATAAATTTTTAAAAAGAAGAATGGCCTATCCCCAAATGTCACTAGTGCTGAGAGGGAAGGACCCTGCTATAAATAAACCATAATCCTTATCATAACTTTATCTTCAGTTTACAGAGGTAGAAACTGGGGCTCAGAGAGGTCAAGTGACTTGCCCAGGGACACAGCTGATTGTGGCTAGGTGGCTCTGTATGCAAAAGCACCTGGGACTCTCGTCCACTGTCTCGAAATGTGCTGTGTGGCTCTGAGCCACTCAGTTCACCTCTGGGAGCCTGTCTGCTCATCTGGAAAATTGGATGATTTCCCAAGACCCATTCAGCTGGGACATTCTTAGATTCCTTCCAACACCTGTTAAGTGGGGGACCTCCCGGCAGAGCACAAGGAAAGGGAACCCACCTTCTTGTCCTTCTCCTTGGCCCTCTGCAGGGCCTCCTGGGCACGACTCTGGGCCTGGCGCGCCCGCTCGGCCTCAGTTCGAAGCCCCCGCAGCTGCTGCTCAGCCGTGGCCAGCTGGGCTTCCGCCGCGTGTCTCTCACTCTTCATGAACAGCGCCTCCCGCTGCACCTGCAGCCCAAGCCCACATGTGACCGTGAGGACATCTGGACCCCAAAGAAGCCTGGACCTGCCTTCCAAAATGATCCTACCCTTCCATTGCAACCTTGGGACATTCAAGGCCATTTGCTGTCAAGGAATTTGGTTTAGGGGTCCTGGATTCCTGTAGGCACTAGAAACGTTCTGACTCTGCCGAGTTGTGGGTCCTTAGACAAGTGACATGAGCTCCCCGTGCCTCAATCTGCTCATATATAAAAGGAGGATAATAAAAACCCCTATGTCACAGGGTGGTTGTGAGGATAAAATGAGCAAATACATGGAAGACACTTAGAACAGTGGTTGGTACACAGTAAGTGTTTGAGTTTGTGACGTTGTTGTTACTGTTATTATTAAAACCATATAATGAATGTTATTGTTACTATTTTTATTACATCATAACTAACATTCTGTTCTCTGCCAGTGGGAAAGTGTGAAAGTGTGTAGATTTCTTACAAAAATGAAGGAAAAACAGACGAATCTGGATGAAAAGTCAACAAATGTCCAAAAATTGTGACTGCATTTTTTTACAAAAATATCAAGGTTGGAACAGTGTTAGATTTGCAAAAATTGAGCCTGGGTGGATCACTGGCCTTTATAGACATAAAGCTCCAGGGAAAATGGATAATAATTAGATGTTTCACTTAGTACAGACTGGCTACACATTAACAATTAAAAAACAAAACAGAAAAACTAAGTTCGAATCAATTTATCCCCAAAATAAGTAGTCATGAGAGAAGGTAAAATTTGGAAAGTAAGTATGAAGATGGGCATACTTAAAGTTGGATCGTGAATACTAAGAAATAGATCAAACTTTACTGGTTTAAAACAGCATGTTCTTGGAAATTCCCTGGCAGTCCAGTGGTTAGGACTCTGTGCTTCCAAAGCAGGAAGCCTGGATTTGATCCCTCATTGGGGAACTAAGATTCCTGCAAGTGGCACAGCCAAAAAAAAAAAAAAAACCAAAAGAGTATATTATTGGAAAAAATAATCCTGGTTGCAATTATTAATCACTTGTACCATCACTATCCTAAGTATTTTACAGAAATTAAACCATTTAATTTCATGTGAGGACTAAGAATTATTATTAGCTCCATTATACAGATGAGTAAGCAGACATATGGAGAGAAAAATGCCTCCCTGATGACGATTAATAATTGTGGCTTTTTATTCCTGCATTTGTTTAAAAGAATTGCTATTTTTTTTTTAATTTGGTTTGTGTGTGTGTGTGTGTGTGTGTGTGTGTGTGTGTTTAAGGAAAGAGATGGAGTCAAAAGATACACCTTCAGGGCCCCAAAGATAGTCCCCTGGTTTGAAAGAAAATCAGCATAAAAATCTACTGGGTTCAAAATAATTGGATCAAAACTCCTTACACAAAACATCCTCCTATTTTGGGGTTGAAGCATCAAAAATGATCATAAGATAAAATGACAATCTCAAAAACAGCTGGCTGGGGAAAAAAAAAAAAAAACAGGGTCAGTTTGACCAACAGAGAAAATGAATATAGGAAAAAATATCAGAGTAAAAAGCCCAATTCACTGCTTACCAAAAGATGGGTGAATATTAATTCCTACCTCACACCACACCCACAGTTAGAAACATAGCATCAGTGTGATTGGGAAATTAAAATAAAAAGATGCTGGAAGAAGGCACATAAGAACATCTTCACTGAGACGTCCATGGCAGTCCAGTGGTTTGAGTCCAACCTTCCACTGCAGGGGGCCTGGGTTCAATCCCTGGCCAGAGAACCAAGATCCCACATGCCCCAGGGTGCATAAAAACAAACAAATAAAAACCAAAACAAACAAAATGAAACTTCGCCATAAACAACAAGGTCCTATCCTATAGCACAAGAAACTATATTCGATAGCCTGTGAGAAACCATAAAAGAAAAGAAAATGAAAAAGAATATACACATGAACCGAGTCACTTTGCTGAACAGCAGAAATTAATACAACATTGTAAATCAACTATACTTCAAAAGATGAATTTTTAAAAATATCTTCCCGATCTTGGGATATGCAGAGGTTTAACAGATCTCAAAACCTGCTAACCATTAGGAAAAAAATGGGGAGTCAAAATAGACAAAATGTTTTAAAACAGAAAACACCAGCTGAAACAGTGAGGTCGTCAGAATGGCTGCAGGGTTAAAGGTCCACCAGCACGGTCAAATTTCTGCTGGACTGAAACCAGTGGGGTGGAAACCTCACCTGGCTGTGGGATCCAAACAGATCACCAAGCAGCTGTCCAATGGGGATTCCTCCACGCTCACCTGGAAGACTTCGGCCGTGGTCTTCTCGTGGCGTCGCCCCAGCTCCTCCAGCTGCCCTTGCAACCGGGCCACGTCGGCCTTCAGGGCGCCCACGATGCGCTCGTGCTCCAGGCGGGCCATGCTGCCCACCCGCTCGCGCTCCAGCTCTGCGCGCAGCCGGGCATGGCCGTGGCCACGACCAGCTGCTCCCGCAGCGCCTCCAGCTCCCGGCTCAGCTCCAGCCGCGCCTCCTCCCGTCGGGCCAGCTCTGCCCGCAGGCCCCGGGCCTCCTCCTCGGCCAGCAGCCGGCCGGCCCGGGCCTCGTCCAGCCGGACCGAGGCCGCCTCCAGCTCCCGGAGACGGCAGTCCCGGTCCCGGAGGTCCTCGCGGGCCTGTTCCAGGGCGGCCCGCAGCTGGCCTGTGTCCCCATCTCTGACCCCGCTAGCCCGGCCGCCCTCAGCCTCCCGCACCCGCTCCCGCAGCCGGCCCGCCTCGGCCTCCGCGGCCTCGCACTTGCCGTGGGCCGCCTCCAGCTCGGCGGCCGCCTCCCGCTCCCGCTGCCTGAGCGCCTCCTCCAAGCTGCGGATCCTGGTCTCTAGCTCTGTCTGCAGCTTTTCTGAGGCCTCCGCAGCACCCGGGTGCAGGATGGGGCCTGTGAGGACCCTCGGGGTCATGACCTCCACTCCCATGGCCTCTGAGCCTGTGAGCTCTTCTTCCACTGCACCTACTCCAGGGGGCTTCTTTTCTGTTTTCATACTGGTGGTCTCTGCTCCTGTGGCCTTTGGTTCTGGGTTTCCTCCTCCTTCTGGAGTTTTCATTTCTGCAACCTCAGCTCCTGTGGCCTTTGTTTCCAAGGGCTGGGCCCCCACGCGCCCTGTTTCCGTGGTCTCCGTGTCCGTGGCCTCGGCCATCGTGGACACGACTTCCAAGCTCTGTGACAGGGCTTCCACGGTTTCTGCTCCTGCAGCCTCCTCGTCCGTGGTCTCGACTCCGTTCACTCCAGTTTCCGGAGCTGCAGTGCCGTTAAGCGCTATTTCCACCGGCCCGTTTCTAGAGGGCTTGGTTCCCAGACCTCTGCCCTCCCTAGAGGCTGCCTCCTGTTCTGCGAGGGCCTCCCGAGCTTCCTGCTGCTCCAGCGCCTGCAGGGCTTTGGCGTGCTGCCTGCGGAGCTGGTCAAACTCAGCCTGGAGAGCGCTGTAGAGCTCCAGAGGAATGACCTCGGCCGGACCATCTGCCTCCATCTCGTCCTTCTCAAAGTGCTCCAGGATCTGGTGGGGACAGGGGAACCGAGCAAGAGTGGAAGTGGCCGTGGTGGGCGTGAGGGGGGCACAGGGCAGCCACGCCACTTTCCCTCTCCACAGACCTAGCCACGTGCCCACCCAAACCCCCGGGAAACAGCCCCGTGGGTCCTCAGACTTGCTCCCATCCCTCCCTCCTGGAAAACTTCTCCCAGCTCTGGTTTCCCCACCTGGACTTTCTCCATCAGCTCCTGGTTCTGTCTGGTGAGCATGGCCACCTGCTCCTGCAGCGAAGCCAAGAGCTCCTGGGCCGACGGGCTTAGCTGCCTGGAGAGCAGCACCTCAGCCCCTGGCAGGGGACACAGACTCAGGCCCCAGAGTTCTAGCCACAAGGAATGGGAGTTGGGGGTCTGGAGCTGTGGGTCAGGGCCCCCGGGGCAGGCACACTTCCAGGAATGGAATAAACTGTGAGTGTCGGCTAGGCTCCCTCCCAAATTCAACTCTCTCCATGCCTGTGGGTTAAAGCTGTGACTCCTGGGGCCCCAGACACGGTCGGGGGTGGGGGTGGGCAGGGGGAAGGCAGGTGGGGTCTCACCTGGGAATTCAGATAGCTCACCCTCCTCATCCTGCAGGGTGGCCACATCATAGCTGGTATTCTCCCGCTCATTCTGTGGCGGGGCAGGGGAACCAGGGTTCGGCTTGAGGTCCTGCCCTCCCTCCAGCCCCCGTGTCTCCCCAGTGTGTGTGATCACAACCCCAATAGCGAGGGTTGCATATGCTGTCTGTTATGTGGGGCCAAGGGAGGGATGGCTGTGTGTCCTTGAAATGGTGTGTCTGGGATTCTGTGTGGGGCCCCATGTGCCTGCCTGGGTGCAAGTCGCTGCAACAGTGGCTCAGGGCTTGTAGGTCTGCAGCGAGCATGTATGTGCACACGTGTGTGCCCCTGCGGGGCATGCACAGTGGCCCCGGCCTCTCCTGTGTGAGCGCCTATGAGTGTGTGTGATTTTGCACTTGTAGTCTGTGGTGTGTGACTGTTTTATGTTTGTGTATGTGTGTGTATGATTGTGTACCTGTATCTGTTTGCTTTATTTATTTTGAGAAATATTTGTGTGAATACATGAATTTGTGAATGTGTTGCCCAGGTATGTGATTGAATGAGAAATATCTGTTATGTGTGTGAGATGACATATCCATAGATGTGTTTGTTATGTGTTTGCCTGTTGCATGTGTAAGACCACATATACATAAATGTTGTTGTCTATCTCTGCATGTACATGAGTATGGGTGATTGCACATTTCCAAAAGTGTTCATTATGTGTACGTGTGTTTGTTATCTATACTTGATTATGTTTGTATGTTTGTCTGTTCTGTGTTTGCATGTGTGTGAGACTATCTGTATTAGTGTGGTTATCAGGCAGCTGCAGCAGAAGAAATACCCCAACCCTGGCGGCCCCACCCCTAAAAGCCCCACTCCTGCCTTGCTACCCATTGGGCCCACCTCCAGAAGGGACAGCCTGCTCTGCAAACTCTCCACCTCTCGGCCCAGGCTCTCCTTCTCCTCCTGCTTCTCAGCCAGAAGCTGCTGTAGCTCTTGGACCTGCAGGGAGGGAGTGGGGGGTCTCAGTGGGCCTCCAGGAGAAAATACCAGGCAGCTGGGGGTCCACTTCCTCCCACCTTCCACCCTACCTGTCTCTCCAGGCTGTGGAGGGAACTGGCCTCTGCCTCTGGCAGCTGACAGAAGAAGTGGGGACTGGGCTTAGATCTGGGCTGGGTGCTCAATGATCCTCCATCCCCTCCACAGATGTTCTCTTGCCTATTTTGTGCCAGATCCCCTTTGGAGCCACTAATTCATTCATTCATGCATGCATTCATTTATTATCATTATTTTTGGTTGTGTAGTGTGGCATTTGGGATCTTAGTTCCCCAACCAGGGATCAAATCCATGCTCCCTGTGGTGGAAGCACAGAGCCTTAACTACTGGACCACCAGGGAACTTCTGTCTCATTCATTTATTCATTCACTCACTCACTCAAATATTCATTCATCCAATAAATACTTATTAGGCAGTTACGGAAAGTGAGGCACCATCAACCAAGCCTGCCCGTGTGGGTTCACAGGCAAATGAGTGAATATGAATAAAATATATAGTATATCTAATAGCAGTAAGTGCTTTGAATAAAAACAAAGGGGACTGAAAAGTGAATGGGGATGTTACAATTTTAAATAAGTTGGGTAGGGGAGGTGTGTTTGAGCAAAGACCTGTAGGAGGGGCAAGAAGGAGTCATAGGGACAGCTGGGAGAAGTGTTCCCAGCAGAGGGCACAGTCTGTGCAAAGGCCCTGGGGTGGGACCAGGCCTGGTATGTTGGAGGAAGAGCCAGGAGGCCTGTGTGGCTGGAGCAGAGTGAGCAGGTGGGGATAGAGGGAGGAGGAGGAAGGCAGGGAGGGGAGTATCCCCCTAGAATGCCACCCACCCCAGGCTTAGCCCCAGGCCCGTGTCTCTGCTACCCCCCACCTCCTGCTTTCTTCGTTCCTGGTGCTGCTCTAGGCCCCGGATCTTCTGTAGCAGACGGCCCCTCTCCTGTCGCAGCCGCACGATCTCCTCGTAGGCATCTTGGTCATCCTGTGCCCCCCACCCCACCACCTTTACATCAGGCCCAAGGACTGCGTCCTCCCATACCTGAGCCAGAACTTTCTCCCCGTGCTACCTAGAGGCAACCCCTCAACTCTTCCCCAAGGCCAGGGCATCTCTCACCAGCATTGGGATATTGGTGGGGGGTTGAGGTGCCTTCCGCTTCTTGGGGGCCCCTTGCTTGTCATGGCTGGACACAGAATTCTGGGGGTAGGGGTAGATGGGGGATATGGGCAACATGCCAGCTTCCCACCCACATAAACCAACACAGCCAGCCCACTCTCTGTCACCAGCCCCAACTCTGCCCTCACTTCCTGGGTGATCTTGAGTGAATCTCTGCCTCTCTCTGGCCCTCACTTATCCCAGCATAAAAAGGAATAAAACCACGTCCCCTGAGAGTTCCAGATCTTATGCTTTACCCTCTGTCCCTTTCTGCACCCTGGTACTTTCCCCAGCTAGACCCTACTGTTTACAATCCTTTCCCTGTGGAGCTGACAAGCTGTAGGATTGAGAGAAAGAGGCCAGACTTGCCTCCTTCCCTGACCACACCAGCCCTTATCAGTCTCGTTCCCTCTGCCATCCCACCCCAGCCCCATGATTTGGTCCCAGGCCCCCAGTGTTCTCAGCGTCCTGGTGGTTATGCTATGGACGCTGCCGCCACTTGGCGGTGGTGTACCCTCAAGGTGTGTGCTAAGTCGCTTCAGTGGAGTACGATTCTTTGCAACCCTACAGACAGCAGCCTGCCAGGCTCCTCTGTCCCTGGGATTTCTCCAGGCAAGAGTAGTGGCGTGGGTTGCCATGGCGTCCTCCAGGGGAATCTTCCCAACCCAGGGATCGAACCCACTTCTCTTACATCTCCTGCATTGGCAGGCAGGTTCTTTAACACGAGTGCCACCTGGAAAGTCCACCCTAAAGGTAGCACTCTTCCAAACAGGTCCTTCGAGGTATTAACCCCAAGTCAAGGGTCCATCTTTCCTTTTCTTCTCAGGGAGCTTGGGTCAAGGGGAAAGGTGGTGTGTGTATGGGGGTGCAGGGGTGGGGGTGGGTTGGGGTGCGGTGGGGACTCACTCACTGCTTAGGGATCCATACCTGAGATGATGCCTCGCCTGAATCATCCTCTGCGAAAGCAGGGGAGAGAGGGAAGCAGGGTCAGGCACTGTGTTAGGGATGCCCTTCCTAGCCCTAGGAAGGGCATTTGTTAGCCCAGGGAACTTGAGTCCCCCCCAGAATCAGGACTTCTAAGGTAGGAACTAACCATTTTGCCAGAATGCTCATAGAAGGGGCCTTGCAACTCTCAAAAAGAACAGTAGCATCTCCAGAATGGGGCGACTGGGAGGGCCAATTCTTAGGGAAGGCAAAGATCCAAGAATAAGATGCCCCAGAAACACAGAGTTGACCCCTAGACTACTCTAAAAGCTCTGGGGCTCCTTGAAACTACCCCGAGCAGTGTGAGGCAAGCAACAAAACCTCCTATAATATGAACAGGGATACCTTGAAACTATCCACAGGAGGAAGGGAGAGAAAGGGGTGGCAAGAAACTACCGAGTGGAGGGAAGGGGGTGCTTGAAACTGTTAAGAAGTGGGGTTTGCATACCGCTGGGTGGTGAGGGGCGCTGGGCTGCCTCCTGTAGGAGGTGCAGGATGAGCTTGTCCCCTGCCAGGGTGCCGTAGTGAGCAGCATTCTGGCCCAGCGCATCTGTGATGCCCGGCTGGGCGCCGCCCTGCAGCAGCACCTCCACTGTTTCGGGGCTGGCTCCCTCACAGGCCAGCATCAGGGCCGTCCTACCAGAAGAGGAGGCTGCTGAGGGGGCGAGGATATTTTCAAACCTCCACACCCTCCTCAACACCCAGGCTGGGTTGAGAGAGGAAGACACACTAGATCTCACACCCAGAGAGGTTAAGAGACTTGCCCAAGGTCACACAGCACACAGTGAACTGGCTGGGAGGGGAGAGGCTCACCTGCCCTGAAGATCCTGGTCATTTGCAGCAGCCCCCTGCTGCAGGAGGAGGCGGCACAGATCTGTGTGACACATCTGAGCTGCAATGATGAGGGGTGTTGTACCCAGCTGAGGGGGGCGGTGGGGAGAGGATGAGACAAGGACAAGATATGAGGGACTGACTCTGGGAGGTTGGGAAGCCTGTGATGGGCCCCCTAAGTTCACTCCAAATCTCCACTTTTCAAAGGGTGCCTGGGATACCTCAAATGCACCATCTTTCCCCAAAGATTCCAGTACTTTGGCCACCTGATGCAAAGAGCCGATTCATTGGAAAACACCCTGATGCTGGGAAAGATTGAGGGCAGGAGGAATAGGGGGCGGCAGAGGATGAGATGGTTGGATGGCATCACCCACTTAATGAACATGAGTTTGAGCAAGCTCCAAGACATAGTGAAGGACAGGGAAGCCTGGTGGGCTGCAGTCCACGGGGTCGCAAAACGTCAGACATGACTGAGCAACTGAATAACAATAACAAAAAATGTCAGGGACTCACCCGATCTCGGGGATTCAGATGGGCCTTGAAGGAGCAGAGTATTTCTGAGCAGGAGATGCAGCCGCCAGCAGCTGGAAAAAGAGAGAAGGGTAGGTAGGTAGGGAGGGGCTTTGATATTTTCTGGGGGCCTTCAGCTTGAGGGTGATTCTTTTTTATTTTTTTGCTGAGCTGGGTCTTCATTGCTGAGCACAGGCAGCAGCTGTGGTGCAGGGACTTAGTTGCCACTCGGCATGTGGAATCTCTCTGGACCAGGGATTGAACCTGTGTCCCCTGCATTGGGAGGGAGATTCTTAACCACTGGACCCCCAGGTAAGTCCCTGGGTGTCATTTTCATCCTTTATTTCATGAGAAACTCTGACCTCCCCTAGAAGACCAGTAGCAAAGATATGGCTTAAATTTTACAGATGAGAAAACGGAGCCCCACAGGTCCATGGTCAGTCAGGGGGTTAGAGACAGCCAGAAGGAGGAGCCGGGTCTTCGAACCCCCAGTCCAAAGCTCTTTCCTCATCTTTCCACTGTGGTCTCTCTTCCATGTGTGCGTGCTCAGTTGCTTCAGTCATATCCGACTCTGCAACCCTATGGACTGTAGCCCCCCAGGCTCCTCTGTCCATGGGCTTCTCCAGGCAAGAACACTGGAGTGGGTTGCCATGCCCTCCTCCAGGGGATCTTCCCGACCCAGGGATTGAGCCTGTGCCTTTTATGTCTCCTGCAGTGCAGGTGGATTCTTTACCGCTGAGCCACCAGGAAAGCCTGTGGCTCCTTTTTAGGGTGAAATTTTTCACTGATTTTCAAGTATTTATCCCTTTTTTGTTCAACCGGCATTAACTGTGTACTGACTATATACTGAACCTTCATATAAAGAGTGTTAATTTTTTTTTTTTTTTGGCCACTCCACATGGCATGTGGGACCTTAATCCCCTGACCCAGGGATCGAACTCACATCCCCTGCAGTGGAAGCTTGGAACCCTAACCACTGGACTGCCAGGGAATTCCCCAAAGAGTGTTAATGTTTACTAGAGAGATCAGACCTCTGCTGAGCTTCAGCAGGCTTATTGGGGTTTGATCTGAGTTCTGAGTTTCGATGGTGAAAGGTGAAGGGTAGAGGTCACTGCATGGACATGGACCCTGAGGCAGGGAGGAGCTTGGGAGGACTTGGTTGACAAAGAAGCAGGGCAGGGTGCGTATGTCCAGAGCCTCAGAGAGGGAAGAGAAGGCTTTGTGCAAGGAAGTGCTGCTGGAAATCATCAAACTTTTGGACTTCCCTGGTGTTTCAGTGGTTAAAACCCTGTGCTTGCACTGCAGGGGGCCCAAGTTTGATCCCTGGTCAGGAACTAAGCTCCCACATGCCTCACCCATGGCCATAAAGGTAAGATAAGGAAAAAAAAAAGCTACAAAAATAAATAAACTCTATGTTATTATCTGCTGTGTGCCCAAGGGCTTATGGGGTTTTGTTTGCTGCTGTAATCTCACTGTTTAGAACAGAGCCTGGCACACAGCAGACACTTGACAAATATTTATGAATGAAAAAAACCAAGAAGCTTCCATAAAGTGAGCAAAGGCTTTGCTACCACTAGGTGGCAGCGTACTTTAACTGCAGAGAATGTTTCAACTAAACAAAACTCCAAAGCAAATGTATTTCATGTTTTCACCTGAGAGTCATCAAGTGAAAGACATTCTCAAATGTCATGGACCTGGTGTATAGACACTGCGCTGGGCTCTGGCTCAAGGGGTTTGGGTCTCTTCCCCTCCCTTGGAAAAGTTTGGATTTGATGATTATGAAGGCTGCCAAGCCTTCCTGAGGTTCCCTAGGAGTTCCTTGAAGCAATAACCCTCCGATTGTCCTCACCCAGGCCTGGCGTACAGTAGGCTGTGCTTTGGGGTCAGGCAGCCTGGATCCTCCCCACGTCCTTGTTTACAGGACTCAATTCCCTTGTCCGTCCAATGGTGCCCCAGTGGCTAAGAATTTGCCTTTCAACGCAAGGGACTTGGGTTTGATCCCTGGTCGGGGAACTAAGACCCTACCTGCTGCGGAGCAACGAAGTCTGAGTACTGCAATTAGTGAGCCTGTGAGCCACCACTAGAGAAGCCTGTGCACAACGAAGAATGGTGCAATGAAGACATAGTACAGCCAAAAAAAGAAAGAAAGAAATAACAATGCAGAGCAAGGAGCTCCATGAGGAAGGAGGTGGAATATGTCCCAGGCACGTCACCACAACCCCAGGTAGAACAATCCCCAAGCTCAGCCTCTGGGGGCCATGGTGGCCAGGGCGAGGCTAGGCTGTACCCACCTGCATGATGCAGGGCGGTCCACCCACTGCTGTCCACAGTATCCACCTCGCAGGATGCCTGGGGGGAGGGATGGGTCATTGGAGGTGGAGCCATCCTTGTTTATTGCCTAATTTCTCTAGGAACTGCTCTTCCTTGGAGTCTGCTGTATCTCAGGCTCCTTGGACCTTCCCCACTCCCCCCACCCACCTGCTCTGTGGAACCCACTCCTCATGGGCCCCCATCTTGACTCTTATGAAAGTTGGTGAGAAAGAGGGATTAGCTGGGAGCCCAGGGGTGGCTGGGGGTCTGGGGTGTAGGTGGGAGCCCTGAAAGTGGCTATGGCTAAGACAGTATCCAGAGTTTAGGGAGAAGGCGGGGCTCAGGAGACATCCGATATTCAGAGTATTTCTTGGATGTGGGACATAGCTGGACACTCGGAGAGTCTCACTGTCCAGGGAATAGCTAGGACTCAGGAGTAAAAGGGGCCAAGGATACCTAGGATTCGGGGTGTATCTGGGGCTTCCATGAAATCCTGGAACTCACCAGGAGTAGTCAGGGCAGGGGAGTATCAGGGGGTTGGGAAGTGTTGGAGACAGGAAAGGAAATGACCTGCAGTAGTTGCTTCAAGCACTGTGGGTGCCCGTACTTAGCAGCCAAGTGGAGGGCGTTGTAACCTAAAAGGGAAAATGAATATTCTAGAACGCACTAGAGCTTCAGATACTCAGGGAGCTTCTGCTGCCCCCCAAACCTGTGTCAATAATTGTGATGACTCTGTCTAGTTAATCCTCAAACCCAGGTATTCTCAAAACCCTGCTACTCCTGGGGACAGAGACTCTCCAAGCCCCAGCTGGTCTGTGTCTCAGACAGTCTCATCCTAGCTACACTCCACATCTTTCCATTCCTCAAGCACTACTGTCCTCAGCTTCTCTCCATGTCCTCAGCTGCTCCCTCTGTTCCCAGCTACTCCCCAGGTCTCCAGCTACTCCCCAATATCCCCATCTACTCCTCAGGTCTCCAGCTGCTCCCTAGGCCCGCAGCTACTTTATGTGCTGTGCTTACTTGCTCAGTCTGGTCCAACTCTTTTCAACCCCAGGGACTGTAGTCTGCCAGGCTCCTCTGCCCATGGGGATTCTCCAGGCAAGAATACTGGAATGGGTTGCCATGCCCTCCTCCAGGAGATCTTCCCAACCCAGGGATCAAACCCGGGTCTCCCGCATTGCAGGCAGATTATTCACCATCTGGGCCACCAGGGAAGCCCAAGAATACTGGAGTGGGTAGCCTATGCCTTCTCCAGGGGATCTTCCCGACCCAGGAATTGAACTGGGTCTTCTGCATTACAGGTGGATTCATTACCAGCTGAGATACCGGGGAAGCCCTAGCTATTCTATAAGCTCAACTACATCAAAGTGCCAGCTATGCCCCTATCTTTGATACTCTGTAAATCCCCAAATTCTAGCTCCTATGCCTGGCTATGCCCCATGCCTCATTACTCCTGAGCTCCTGCTACCTCTAAACCCCAGCTACTCCATGAACCTCAGACACTCCCCCCAGAAAACTACACTGGTTATTCATACGCCCTCAGATGCTCCTCAAGCTCCGACACTCTTCTGTTTCTACTGCTTCCTCTGACTCAACCACTACCTGAGTCCCAGCTCCCCGATCCACAAGTTGACTCATTCTGTCTACTGCCAACCACAGTCTCCATCCTTGGGTACCACAGCTTGACATGCTTCTGTCCCCAGGGGCACAGAAGGGAACCCCCCTTTTCAGCAGGACACTGAGGCCATGAAGCAGGGCGTGACTGGGCCCTCAGGCTGGGCACCTGGTCAGAGTTCCTCCTCCCTCCCCCAGGGCTGGAGGGTAGTACCTGCCCCATCCGTGCTCATGGTGTTGGCGCCGTGTGCCAGCATCACCTCAAGACAGCTGGCTGCACCCCTCATGGCTGCCAGGTGGAATCTGGAGGCCAGAGGTCAGGGGTCAACTGCAGGGTGGCCACCCCTCAGCCCTCACATCCCCAGAACATGGACACTCACGCGGACTTGCCCTCGGGGTCCAGCTTGGTGGGCACAAGCCCCTTGCGGGCGATGAGGGAGGCCACCCGAGTGGGATCGTTGTTCTCCACCGCCTGTAGCAGCCGCTCGTCACTTTTGCCCCAGTCCTGGCTCTGCAGGGCACACCCAGAGGAACGTGGGACTGGTGGCCACTGTCCCTCCCCGCTCCCCCGGCAGGGGCTCTGGGCTCTCGCCACCGGTCCTGGGCACTTGCCTGGCGCCTGCCTCTGGCTGCCGCCGGCTTCGGGATGGGGCAGGGGCCGCAGGGCGGGCAGGAGCCGAGGTCAGTGGGGCTGAGCCGCAGCTGCCGGGGGAAGTGGTCCTGGGTGGGGGCCTGAGACGGCATAACTCCAGCCTGGGTCCTCAGCACCTGCCCCCCCAGCTGTCCTCCACCACTGCCAGCAACCACACCATCAAACCATCCCCAGCTCAGCTCCCAGCATCTTTCCAAGAAGCTGTCCCCCAAACCTAGGTTTCCAGCCATCTCTTAGTTAAACCCGCCTTTCTAATATCACCTCACCAAGTCTTCTTGAACTGCCCTCCAAAGTCTTCCCAAAGGAACCACTAAAGGTCCCTTAAATGTCCCTCACACTGTCCTCTGCCAGCTACCCTTCTTCTGCCCCTGAGACGCCAAGACTGTCCTGCAAATGTCCTAAATGCATCTCTAAATATCTTCCCCAAATTCATCCCTCCAGTGACCCCGTCAAATGTCCCCAAAATGTCCTCCCCCCCAAATCTTTCAGATGTTCTCCAAAATTGTTCTCCAAATGTCAATATCTTTCCCCCAAAAAAGGTCAAAGTATCACCCAAATTGTCCCCCTAGATGATCCCATCCAAAACTGTCCACCTAACTGCCCTCTAAATTCTTCTGAGTGTCCCCATCTGTCCTCAAGATCTTCTCCCCATATGTGCCATCCATCCTCCCATCTCTGTTTCCCCTCCTTCCGCTGTCCTCCCTGCTTCGCCCTCTCGGGTCTGCGGGTGGAGGGTCTAGGCTCTGCGCGGCCAGGGGGCGGGGCGGGGCGGGGAGGGGAGGAAGGGCCCGCGCCAGCCCCCTCCCACGCCCCCTCCCCCGGCCCTACCGCGAAGGAGGCGGTGGCGCACAGACACAGCTGCTTCATGGCGTCCAGGGCGCCGGGCGGCCGGGCGGCCGAGCTCCGGGAGGTGACCCGGTCGGAGGGGCCAGAGGAGCCGGAGGTAGGGGCCCGCGAAGCCGGAGCTCGGCCGCCCGGCCCGCGCGGTCCAGCCAAACCAGACGCCGCCCCTCCCCCGCGCCCCGCCTGCCGCCCCCCTCCCGGCCCCTCCCCTACGGGTGGGGGGGAGCGCCAGGGAGTGGGGATGGGCTCTGGGGGAGGGGCACCGCCGAGGCCAGACCTGACCTTCTCGCCGCCAGGAGGCCGGGCAAAGGGGGCCAGGCTCCCAGCATCTCCAGGTACCCGACTGCATCCGTCTCCGCCTCCTTTGAGCTGGCCGGGGAATGGGGGATGCGGGGGTCTCAGGTGACTCTCGGCCTGGTCCCATTGCTGCTGGGCCATCCGGGCTCTCATTCACTCACTCACTCACTCACTCATTCATTCATCCGCCAGTGGGGCTGTTCTGCAGTCTTGACAAAGCTGAATTTGAATCCAGGACACCACCTCCCCCCACAGCGACACCCTCCACACACTCGCATTTACCACCTACAAGATGGGCCAAGATACTTACCTGCTTTGGACTTCACTTTCCTCATCCAGGAAATGGGTTTCCTTTTAAACAGTACCTACTGCCGAGGGTTACTGGGAGGACTAAATGAGATGCTATATATCAGAGGTCCCCAGCCTCCCACCCATGGACCAGTATCCATTGGTGGCCTGTTAAGAACCAGGCCGCATAGCAGGAGGTGAGCGGTGGGCAAACAAGAGAAACTTCATTGATGTTTACTGCCTGAACCCAGCCTCTTGTTAGATCTGCAGGGGCATCAGATTCTGAGGAACTTGAACCCTAACCCTAAAAGTTAAGGCAGAATATCCTGAGATTGCCACAAAATAGAAATAAACTGCAAAATAAATGTAATGCACTTAAATCATCCTGAAACTATCCCCATCCCCACACTCCGGGCTCATGGAAATATTGTCTTCCCCAGGACTGGCTTCTGGTGCCAAAAAGGTTGGGGACTGCTGCAACACTGGCACCAAGCAAGTGTGCTACAAACAGAGATTGATTCATCATAGAGAGATGCAGCTGGACTGTCTGCATATCTAATCCTGCATCCTGGGACTCAGGACATAGTAGGTGCTCAGTTAAACCACTGAAAGACAGCGAGGACACCAGCTTTAGCTCTAACTCCAAGGAGATGGAAGGGTCTGTGTTCCCCTCATTCTGTTCTCAGATTGAGAGCCCCTTGAGAGCAGAGTCCCATTGAGGCCTCCCTGGCAAAGGGCCTTGGATCCCAGGGTGGGGTGAGGAAGTTGGTGAATGTTTGTACAGTGAAGGCATGACTCATAGGCCAATTGCATTCATTCCGTCCACACGTCCTGGACGGCGCCTGGCACAACCCTGCACGTCGGGACTCAGTGGTGGCAAAGACAGTTGTCCTTGTTGTCACTGAGGTCCCTGGGGAGACAGACACACCCACGGATTTATGAACCAAAGTGATCAGGGCTGTTAAAGGGGAAGCTCAGGTGAGCTGGAAGCTCAGAGAGGACTCTTGAAACAATCTGGGAAGTCAGGGAAATCCTGCAAGAGAGGACATCTGAGTTGAAACTTGAAGAATGGACAGCACTGGGGAGCAGCAGGAACAAGATCATGTTAAGGAGAAATCATGAAATAAACTGTGCTCCTGGACCAGTGTGGTAACTCTGCCCCAGTCCAGGACCTGGGGCATTGGTCAGGGGCATACCGAAGGGTAGGGCAGAGGGGGAGAGATGTTGTAAAGAGATGGAGTTAGGGGGAAACAAGGCATGTGGGATGTCAGAAGAGCCACAACAGTTCCAAAAGGCAGGACAGTCCACTGTGTTGTGAATGAAAATTTGAGAAAGGGCCAGGAGAAGGTGGGAGGTTGGCATTACAGGGGAGAGAAGGGATGTGCGGAGAGACAGGTTTTCAGGAGCCCAAATTTTTAACCTTAATTTTTATTTTTGACTGCACCACGAGGCATGTGGGGTCTTAATTTCTCCACCAGGGATCAAACCTATGCACTCTGCCTTGGGAGTGTGGAATCTTAACCTCTGGGCCACCAGGGAAGTCCCAGGAACCCAAACTTAAGAGCAATAGCTGCTGACAGGCACTGGGGCTTTGAACACAGCTGGGCCATTGTGTACCTGCTGTGTGACCTGAGAGTAGCCACTCTCCCTCTCTGGGCTTCAATTCTTCCACTGTTAAATGGAATAGATAACGGAATGGATAGCATAAAGCCGGGTTCCTCCACCTGGAGGCAATGCTGACATTTGGGGTCTGGTCATTCCCTGGGGTGGGGCCATCCTGGACTCTGTGAGGGTGTTGAACAGCATCCCTGGTCCAGGAGCAGCCCCCCTCCCCACTGCCCACTGTGTGACAACCATGTCAGAGGCATCGCCCAGTGTCCCTGGGGGCAGGATCACTGCTGTTGTCCGTGATTATTCTCAGACACCTTTGGGCAGGTGGAGGGAGAGGTGGGGACAGGTAAATGGAGAGTTTGCTGATAAGCAATTGAGGAGTTGGAGGGAAGGTGTTGAGGCCTCCTCTCTCCTCTTACACTTGGGTAGGGGGGTGACTCTTAGGCCCGTCCAGAGAGGAGACTGAAATGTATCTCGCAGCTCAGGCCTCAGATTTCCAACTGCCCTTGGTCTGTCCTCTGGATGCCAGACACGATCAGAAGCCCCTCCCCTTGCAGTGTGCCGAGGGTACCACCATCCCACCTGACTCCTCTCTTACCCCACACCCAACCCAGCAGCCAAACTGCATCCAAGGACCCCTTCTCACACACGGTCAGTCCCATCACAGCTCCACCGTGGGGTCACCTCCACCCAGGCCTCCCTGCTTCTATTCCCCTCCCTGGCCCACCAGCTGCCTAAACCTGCATCAGAGCATCTCTCTCTCCTGCACATAAGCCTCCAGTGACCTCACTTGGCATCAGATGCTAACTGCTCACAGAGCCCAGGGGGTTCCATGGCAAGGGGTCCACCAAACTGAGGTCTCCCACCCTACCCCACTCCCACCTGGTTTTGTCCAGGCCAAGAGCTGAGAATGGTTTTTACACTTATAAGTGGTTAGGGGGGAAAAATCAAAAGAAGAGTTATATTTTGCAACACATGAAAATTATATGAGGGGACTTCCTGGCAGTGCAGTGGTTAAGACTCTGTGCTCCCAATGCAGGAGGTGCAGGTTTGATCCGGAACTAAGATCCCACAAGCCTCAAGGTATGCCCCCCACCCCCCCGAAATTATATGAAAATCACATTTCAGAGTCCATAGAACAAGTCTGGATGGCAAGGAGAACAAACAAGTCAATCCCAAAGGAAAGGAACCCTGAATATTCATTGGAAGGAGTGATGCTGAAGCTGGAGCTCCAATACTCTGGCCACCTGATGCAAAGATCTGACTCATTGGAAAAGCCCCTGATGCTGGGAAATATTGAAGGCAGAAGAAAGGGATGGCAGAGGATGAGATGGTTGGGTGGCATCACTGGCTCAATGGACATAAGTTTGAGCACACTCTGGGAGATAGTGAAGGACAGGGAAGCCTGGCGTGCTGCAGTCCAAAGAGTCAGACACCACTGAGCAACTGAACAACAACATTGGGGTGAAGCTATGCTCATTAATTTTCAAACAGCCTCTGGGAATTCCCTGATTGCCCAATGGTTAGGACTCCCAAGTTATCCCATGGACAGAGGAGTCTAGTAGGCTACAGTTCATGGACTTGCAAAGCATCAGACACAACTGAAGTGACTTAGCATGCACGCGCTGGGAACGAAGATTCCACAAGCTGCAAGGTGTGGCCGAAAAAGAAGTTTACCATCCGGCCTTTTACATGAAAAAATGTGCCCACTTTTGCTCTTATCACTCCTCCTCCTCACCTCTCTGAGCTCTTCCCCCAACCTGTCCCTGGGTCCATGGATTCCTGCTGCAGTGGCCTCCTTTCCAATCCTCAGACAGCTCTGCCCACCTCCGGGCTTTTGCCCTTCCTGTGTCCTCCACCCGGGATGCCCTCTCTCCTCCACCGCATACAAGGCTGATCCCTTCACTGTCTTTTGCACTGGAAGACACCTCTTCAGACAGCCTTTCTCTGGTCACCCCCTTGTCACTCTGATCCCCTCAGTGGGGGCTAGTTTTCCTTTATGGTTTTTATTATCACCTGACGTCATCCCATGTACCTTTCTGAAAATATCACTTCCTCTTGATTTCTCCACAGAATGTCATCTCTGCACAGGCAGGAATTTTTGTGTTCTTTAGTCACTGCCATATCTCCCCAGTAGGTCCCAGGTACAGATTTAGGAGTACCCGGTACAAAGTGAAAACGCAGAGCCCTAGCTGAAAAGTGACTAAGAATGTCAAGACAGGCAGAAATGAAACCAAACACCATGGGGCTCTTCTGAGTGGGAGCATCTGTGAAGCCAGCCTTGGTCTCCAGCCTGCAGTAGGTATTCATTAAATGTTTGTTGAATGAGTTAAATAGTGACTCGGATTTAAAATAAGGTCATATATCTAGTAAATATATACATGTACATTTCTTCATTTCAAGAGTATTTTTCAGGACTTCCCTGGTAGTCTGGTAGTTAAGACTTTGCCTTCCAATGCAGGGGACGCAGGTTCTATCCCTGGTCAGGGAGCTAAGACCCCACCTGCCTTGTAGCCAAGAAATCAACACAGAAGCAGTATTTGTAACAAATTCAATAAAAAATCAATCAAACAAACAAACAGAGTATTTTGCAGGGCATTCTAATAATAAACTACAAACTACAAAATTCAGTCAATTCCCTAGTGCCTTTTTTTGATCCAATATCAAAAGACTAGTTTGTTCATGTTGAAAAAAAAAAAAAAGAAATAGAGACTCTGGGTAAAGTGAGGGACACACAGCCTTTCTAAAAAGTATTGAGGCACCAGGAGTCTATGAATCTTCTAAAAAAATTTTTTTAACAGATCCACAAGCTTCTTTCTTGTGGAATTTTT